TCCATGGTTGTGTGCGGTGTTGAACAGTACATTGCTGATCCATGGTTGTGTGCGGTGTTGAACAGTACATTGCTGATCCATGGTTGTGTGCGGTGTTGAACAGTACATTGCTGATCCATGGTTGTGTGCGGTGTTGAACAGTACATTGCTGATCCATGGTTGTGTGCGGTGTTGAACAGTACATTGCTGATCCATGGTTGTGTGCGGTGTTGAACAGTACATTGCTGATCCATGGTTGTGTGCGGTGTTGAACAGTACATTGCTGATCCATGGTTGTGTGCGGTGTTGAACAGTACATTGCTGATCCATGGTTGTGTGCGGTGTTGAACAGTACATTGCTGATCCATGGTTGTGTGCGGTGTTGAACAGTACATTGCTGATCCATGGTTGTGTGCGGTGTTGAACAGTACATTGCTGATCCATGGTTGTGTGCTGTGTTGAACAGTACATTGCTGATCCATGGTTGTGTGCGGTGTTGAACAGTACATTGCTGATCCATGGTTGTGTGCTGTGTTGAACAGTACATTGCTGATCCATGGTTGTGTGCGGTGTTGAACAGTACATCGCTGATCCCAGCGTCCTCACATACATTACTCACACAGTCCATATTTGGCAATGCTCAATGAGCTTATTTTTTTGCTGTACCAACTGGCTTGTACTCGTCTATATTTGCGACTGACCTGCTGCAGCAGGCGTCTGCCTTTGCATGTCCCGTATGCAAGACCACACACATATGGTATGCGTATGATTGTGTGCGGCGTTGAACTGCGCATCGCTGATCCCAGCGTACTCACACGCCTTCCGTATCAATTTGGCAATGCTGGCTGGCTTGTCTTCATGTGCGACTTACCTGCAGCAGGCGTCAGGCTTCGCATGTCCCGTATGCAAGACTATACACGGAGTACACACGGGTACACAGCCGCCAGGGACGATGAGCGTGCAGTACGAGCAGTCCCACCACTGTGCCGGCTATGAGGACGATGGCCTCATCATCATCAAGTATGCCATACCATCCGGCGTTCAGGTACGGGCAGGCGTCACGGCCGGGATTCTCCCATTGTGGCTTCCTTGCATCTGCGTTCTGTTTTGGGATTTCCCCATTGTTTCCTCGCATCCTTATACTGTTTGGGGCCACACCCCCCCCCCCCCTCCCCCGAGCATTGTGGCCTTGCATCCTCGTACTGTTGGGGGATTCTCCCATTGTTTCCTTGCATCCTCGTAATGTTGGGAGATTCCCCCATTATTGTTTCCTTGCATCCCCATAAAGGGGCGTAGCAGCCGCTCCGGCCGGTCCGGCTTTGGCCGGACCACTTTTTCGCCCGACCACGACCACCATAGTAAAACAATGCCAAAAGTGCCCAGAATGCAGGATTTTGCACCCTAATTTCCAAAAAATTCCGCGCGGAGATCCCCCGCACCCCCCCCCCCCCTGGTCGGACCACCACCAACGGCGGTGCTGCGCGCCTGCCATACTGTTTAGGATTCTGGTATGAGATTTCTAGCTCCGTCCCGACCGTCTGTGCGTCTGTATGCGTGCTGCTGTCTGTGTCTATGTCTGTTTCTCAGGGCCCGGAGCATCCCAATCCGGGGAATCGGTACTCCACGCACGGTTTCCCGCGTGTATGCTTTCTGCCTCACAATGCCGACGGAGAGAAGGTATGTTGACGTTGAAATTTGTGCACATTGAGTGGACCAACTCTCTTTTGCGGTGATGGACGTCATCAATAGTGTTACTATCACTCTTACTGTTGCCGCCATCACCATCAGGCGTCAGGCCTATTGGTGTGTATATTTTCTAGTGCTAAGTCAGATAGCATTTTCTTCGGGTATCGGGTTCGGGTAGTTTTCCACGGGTAGCACGGGTACCTGATCGAGTAATGTTTCCATGGTAACACCACAATGCACCCCTTGCCTTACACACAGGGTAGACATGCAGAGATGACATGGACGTGTACACGTGCGCAAGCTGTACATGTCATATGATGTCATCTGCGACTTCATGTTATTCGGGTACTATTCTGTACCCGACTACCCGAGGTCCTCACGGGTAGCACGGGTACCCGACTGTCCGTGCACACCCCTAATATTTTTCAATTCCTCATCGTCGTCGTCGTTGTGATGCCGTACCTGTTGCCCTTGCGACTGCCACTGTCACCATTTCGTTTGTTGTGTATGACTACCACACACACACACACACACTCACGTTGCAGATCTTGAAGCTGTTGCGCGTGGCGTGGGAACGGCGTCTAATCTTCACAGTGGGCACGTCGAGCACCAGTGGTGCCAAGGACACGGTGACCTGGAACGAGATCCACCACAAGACCGAGTACAGCGTAAGTCGACGGCAATGATGGTGACGTCGGCACTTTGATTCACGGCATCATCACGTGCGGCGATGACGTCAACACATTGAATGTTGACGTCATCACTCTGATCCTGTCTATTGATCTGCATACAATGTTAGCAAGAGTACAGTTTTCCTATACAAAATCTCAATTGTGTAGAAATCTTTGATTTTTGATTAGCACAAAAGCTGTGTACATGTCCTGCTAGCTTCCACCCTACGCACGGTTACTTGCATCATACATGTGCACGCAGATTAAGAGTAGAGTAGAGTAGAGTAGAGTCATGTACCACCTACACTGCACTGTATGCATGTAACAGGGAGCATCTCATAAGTTCGCACTTTTTTTGTAAACGTAACGCATTTCGAATAGACTTTACCCCCCCCCCCCCCCCCCCCTACCTCCCCCCACTATTTGAAAATCTTATCGCACATTTTCAGTGTAGATCTACTGTACTGTACATGTCCATGCCATGGTATGCACAATCATGTACAATGACTTATGTTCATGTACATGGACATGGACGCTAGTGTCGAAGTGAATGACATACAGTACTACTAGTACATGTACCACATCTACTGAGTACAAGTAACTATTGGTTACAGTCTTAGTTCAATCAATGACATGTACACACACATAAACAGAGTTACTCCACAACGACTGTACTGTCAAAGCTGGCCAGGTGGCAGGTACACGGTTTGATCAGGCTGGTGTGACATTTGACACCTCTGAGTAGCCTGCATGCGTAGTGCAAGGGTTAGATCTACACCTAAAACACACCCATACCCTGCTGTCTGAAGCGGTCTAGCACAAGCACAGCACTGTATTGCACACGTACACATCCAGAAAATGTGCGAACTGTCATTTTTCTATCCGAAATGGGCGCTACCCCCCTACCCCCGTTTCGAAATGCGTTACGTTTAGAAACAAAATGCGAACTTATGAGATGCTCCCTTACTTGACTGCAAGCTGGGCATGGATAGAGCTATAGCCTGCAGGTATCGGATTTTCTTTTGCGAGTCTCGATGATTTTCGAGTAGCAGTAGATCGACTTTGCATAGCAAACTGCGAGGCGATACCGGATAAATTCATCCCTGGAAACAGTGCTGAGTGCATTCGTCTGTTTACCTTGTTCGCTGCTCTTTCTTTCTGCTGCCGTGGCGAAAGAAATTCAACCCACGAGTCCAAAGTAGTTTTGCGGTTCCTTTTCTATTACATCGTGCACGGCCGCACGAGTCCTGGCGCTGCTTTCGACACGTGGGTCGGATTCCTTCGCCCACGGCTGTAAATGGGCCCCTGTAGCAGAACGTACTCAAAAAGTCTGACTAGTGAAAAGCTGGCGAGAAGTACCGTTTGCTTCTTGGTGTGTGTGTGTGTACGTGGAGTCGTTTTTTGTGTCATTCTCTGTATCTGTGTGTGTGTGTGTGTCTGTCTGTGTGTGTTTACGTGTACATGTTTGACTCAACCACAGGGTAATGGCTCGGGACACGGATATCCGGATGCATCCTACTTTCATAACGTCACGGCAGAGCTCGCTGCGCAGGGTGTTACGGAGGCAGACTTGCAGGAGTGATGGCCTGTGTGTGTGTCTCAAAAGGCCAGAGTGAAAGTAAAAACACACGGAGATAATGGAAATGACTGGCTGATGCTGTTTAGCGTCATGGTGCATCAAAGACCTTGGAATGAGTCAAGTCTCTCTCTCTCTCTCTCTCCCCTCCTTCCCTCCCTCCCTCCCTCCCTCCCTCCCTCCCTCCTCCCTCCCTCCCTCCCTCCTCCCTCCCTCCCTCCCTCCCTCCCTCCCTCCCTCCCTCTCTCTCTCTCTCTCTCTCTCTCTCTCTCTCTTCTCTCTCTCTCTCTCTCTCTCTCTCTCTCTCTCTTTCTCTCTCTCTCTCTCTCTCTCTCTCTCTCTCTCTCCCTCTCTCTCTCTCTCCTGTTAATCTTGGCCACGTTGGTTGTCTTGACCTCTGTGCCTTGTCATCCTTCTCCACTGCAAGTGCCAAGTCCAGCACGTGTAAAACACCTCGTGCATCTGAGCCTGAGCTGCAGCCCGAACCTGAACATCCCTATTAGGGAAATGGTTTGCGTAGAGACAACGCAGAGAGCTGCTCAGCACCAGCCAGCAGTGTGAGTGTGAGCATTATCACCAGTGATCTCTGCTGCTGATGTTCTGCGCCGTGACTTCGTCTACCTGAGCCCTTCACTAACTGCTCCGCCAGACAACCTGACACAGGTGCTGTAGAGCTTCCCGATGTCTTTGTAGCCCGGAAAGAATACTATTGTGCCGTTTCATTGGAACCGTCCGGCATCAACGATTTTTTTCACGGGACTAAACAATTCAATCACCCCCTCCCTCTCCCCCCCCCCCCCCGCACCCCTGAGCAAAAAATGTATTGACTTGACATGTAGAAGGGATTGATGTTTCAGCTATCAATATCTTTAAAGTGGAACTTGCCTCGACCCAACCACCCGTAAACGAAACATTTTTTCGTGTCATGCAAAATATTGATATTAATTATGGACTACCCTTGATCGATTCTTTGTAGAACATGCCCCCCCCCCCCCCCCCCCCCCCAGAGTGTGCAACTCTCGCATACCCTACTGTCCCCGCAGAATTTCAAGTTGTTGTCATTTTTTTATAATGCAATTCTCCTTCGACCTCATAGAAGGGTACCCAGAGTTGCGCACTCTTGGGAGCTTATACCATCGGTAGTTGTCTACAGCTGTCTCATGCCTCACCAGTCCCATTTTAACTACTTTCTTTACCCTTTGCTCAGCTGCTTCTGTTACGCACGGACAAACGTTTCCAGCATTATCCCTACGCCGAGTTTTCTCCCACTATGGGCATGCACACATTTTTTTTTCTGGCTGCGGAAAGGTGGAACGTACTTCCACATGAATGCCGCCAAGCTGTATCTCTTCCTGAATTTGTATCACAGACCAATTCTTTCCTAGGGTTCCCTGTAGAATGGCTCAGTCTTTTGGGAGTTCCCTACAATCAAGAGTACAATACTGGTCATGTACTCTTGCTACAAGTAAACAATGTAACCTACTACTTGAGAACGGGTCTATTTGCAAAGCCGATTACGTGAAACCATGAAGCTCTTTTAAAGCCAAGGCTGCGTTCGTTTTTAGCTATACCTGGTAGAGTAGAGTAGAGTCACTCTACCCATAGACTAGAGGTAGACGGTAGAGGTAAGGGCACGAACTCTGTTCTACCGGATTTAGTAGTTTTTCACGATATGTACGTGAAATGTTTCTCTTCTGTATGGAGTTATGTGCAACTCCTTGATCTTGCTGGAAATACCGTAATTCTACCAACTAACTTCTACCGACTTTTTTACTCTTGGTACAGCCGGTAGAGGAAAGTAGAATCTACCCTTTTGAGTAGAAAAAAGAACACTTTTTTTTTTTTTTTAGGCATAGCAGAGAACAGATGGCGGGCGGGCCTGGTACATGAGTATGATCCAGTCTGTTCTCTGCTATGCCTCAAACTGTTTCTTTCCCGCTCTATCCAAACTGCTGCTACATCGACTGCTACGCATTGCTAAGTCTGGCATACGAGCCATCTTCCAACTCCCCAGAAGGACCCAGGGCCTGCTCTAGACATTCAACTCAGCCCGATCAGAGTGTACCTGGCGCATGCAGGCCAGCCGGGTCAAGCCGGGTCAGATCATCCTGCAGAAAAACAACCAGAAAGCCTGCTCAAAACGCAGGAAAACAGAAAGGCGAATTTATTACCGGAAATCGGAAATTTTAGAGAACAAGGCGAACTATCAAAGTCCGCAAACGTAGAAGGCAAACGACATTATGTGAAGAATGCAAAGCAGTAACATAATAGAGCACTGGGGGGGGGGGGGGGGGGGGGGCTGCAGCACCTTGTGGAGTGGCTGCTTGCTGCGACTGAATCACTTGCATGGCCAAGCCGACTGGCGCGGCATCTGCTGCACCATCTGCTGAAAGGCTTCAGCAGACTGGAGAACTGGTACCAACTTACTTCTACCGACTTGTTTTACTCTTGGTACAGCCGGTAGAGGAAAGTAGAATCTACCCTTTTGAGTAGAAAAAAAGAACACCTCTACCGAAAAAGTAGTTTCTACCCAAACATGTAGATCAAAAACGAACGCCCGGGGGGGGGGGGCAAAGCAAGAGACAAGTAAGTTCGACAACAAGGTTTTTGCACACTTTTTTACATCTGGTGTGAACTGACTTGAACCTAACGCGAACTTTGAACCCACAGACTTTAGGTCTGGAGATCAACAGTTCAAAGATTTGTGCGGCCGCGCGCGCAGATCAGTGAAGTCAGGAGAACCTCAGGTTTCATGACTGAGCTCCGATGTACATTATTTTGTAGAGTGGAGAGCACCCCGTGACCCAGATACTGTACACAGATCTTAGAGGAAACGAGACAGATCTCAAACTAAATTGTGGGAAAATTACTGGTTTTGGTGGCAGGCCGAGGGCCCAGTTGTGTCGTCATTCACGTCTGGAAGAAGGGTTCCGTGCCCGGTCTGGCGATTTTCGTTCCTGACCTCTGAGGATGGCGGAGGTTAGTCTGCTTTCAAATTTTAAATTGTTGGAAAACTCTGAACTTGCTGATATGACGTGAACTGAGGTACTCTAGATATAATTATGACGTCATGCTAGACTAATGTGTAAAGTAATACCGGGGTGAATTGTAAGAGTCCACTTAGCAGTAGCAATAATTCATCATGCATCATGCTTCAAGTCTGTGCTTTCCACTAAGCAAGAACATAGAAGTGTGGTGAATGCACATGTAGTGTTGTTGCTGCACCCGAACATCAGTTTTTTTTGATATGGTTCATAGCCTTTTTTCAGATTGTTGACTCAACGCAGTTTAAGTGGAGATACAACTCATCTCAGTTTCTTCCTCCGCGTCATTAAAATTGTCACTTCGCACATTGCAATGTTTGTGACTTGCTCGTCTCAGTCAGAGGGTCGGAATAGCTGTTCTCTGTGTTTGAACATTGGTGTGACCCTTCCTGCGCAATATCTACTTGTTGCAGAAGCCGTGGTGGCCTCGGAACTCTCTTCCGCACATTGCGCTCCACACTATTTCGCCCCAGAGAGCGTACATGTATTTTTTCGGGAATTCGTGCGGGCCCACATCGTTCGCAAGGGTATTTATCAAGACTGCAAGCTCGGGTATAAGAATCCTGGTATCTCTCCTGAATTCGAAATGCTGAAGTTGACGATGGCAAGAAAAAGTGTTCTCAAATTCCTAAAATGCGCTACGTGTGGCGCATGTTGCTTCCAAGATACTGCTGTCTGAAAACATCAATAACATCAGCGAAGCGCTTGCCAAGGAAAGAAGGTGCGGAACTGCTTAGGGCCGGGTTCCACTGCGGCTCCGCTGATCAGCGGCACTTGGCTGCATGCAGCGGAGCAGCGCGGTTCCACCGACACTCGCCATTCGCGGTACCGCGGTCGTGCTTCACGTTTTTTATGACGTTCTACCTGCCTGCGCGCGCGTGCGCGCGCGCGCGAAATCAATAAAAATCCTCGTCTTCTGGCCTACACAACGAAATATAATTTGAATTTTAAAATTCTTGCACTTGGGTCTTTTTCCCTCCCCCAGGGGACCAACCATGGTCAGTTTCTGGAAACTACCAGAGGTGAAAGAAAGTGATTAAATTTGGAAGGATTGGGATAACTTCACTTCAAATTGGTCCCCTGGGGGAGGGAAAAAGACCCAAGTGCCATCAGTATGTGTGGCACGTGTTGTGAGCTGCTTTTGGAGTGAAAGACTTTTCAGCGCCTTCTAGGTTCAGCCTGGTACCATAGCTCAGTGGTTAGAGCATTGCTCATGACAAGCAGGGTCCCAGGTTCGAGTCCTGGTGGGTCTGGCGTTTTTTTTCTCTTTTCAGGCAGTTCGCTTCCCCAACTGATCCTTTGAATTTGAAATTCTCCCAATCCTTTCAAATTTAATCACTTTCTTTCACCTCTGGTAGTTTCCAGAAACTGACCGTGGTTGGTCCCCTGGGGGAGGGAAAAAGACCCAAGTGCCATCAGTATGTGTGGCACGTGTTGTGAGCTGCCTTTGGAGTGAAAGACTTGTCAGCGCCTTCTAGGTTCAGCCTGGTCCCATAGCTCAGTGGTTAGAGCATTGCTCATAACAAGCAGGGTCCCAGGTTCGAGTCCTGGTGGGTCTGGCGTTTTTTTTCTCTTTTCAGGCAGTTCACTTCCCCAACTGATCCTTTGAATTATTATTATTATTATTTGTACATACGTAAGTTAGACCCTGAGCTTTGTGTTCAGAAGGAGAATGTGTTGTCTTTGCAGTTGTTTGGCACTGTTCGTCGTGAAGGTGCGAAATAGATCTCTTGATATTTCTCTCTTTTTCTTGTCACTACGTTTTTGTCACTTAGGGGTCGTCCGTAATTTTCGAAAAATTAAAAAATCCGTCCTCAGGCAGAAAGAGGGTGGGTGGTCAAGAGCGCTGGCGGAATTTAATTTTTTGATTTTTCGTACCTTTTTTTGTTTTTTTCAGTGACTTTTATACACTTGTTGCACTGACTGTACTGTGTATTCATGTGGTGTATATACGTGTATTGTAGGATCGATTGTCGCAAACACCAGTATGATGTAATTTGTAGGACATGCATGGCCGTCGGTAGACCTATAATAATAATAATAATAACTTTATTAGGATGACCTTTCAAAGGCTGACCGCCTATCGTGGGGTCCGTCGCATTGAACGATGCTGGTACGAGAGAGTACAGATTGGGAGGGGAGGGACTACTATGAACAGGGGTATGAACTACTAGCTTCTAGTACTTGACACAGGTGCAGTCAGTGAACACGGCCGGAGTGAAGAGTTCTTATTTTCGAGCTGGGCATTAGGAAAAATCAAAAAATTAATGAGAAAAAATGGGGGTGGGTGGGTGGGTCAGAGACAATTTTGCACGAGGACGGATTTTTTAATTTTTCGAAAATTACGGACGACCCCTTATTGGATTTGCATGCTGTTTTCTTGATTCTTCACATCTATTTTTTCGTGTCACTTCTACACATAATTGGAGTGATATAATATGTCTGAACTTCTTTTCCTTATGGTTGTAGTCTTTTAGCTTATTTCCATCATTCCCTGTAGTATTTTGACAAGAAGGGAACGAAAACGTTCAATACTTTGACACATGTCCTAATTGGCTGGTGGTGACTCTTGCGTAGATGCATGCGTAGATAATACATTTTTGTATTATTATTAAAAGTAGAAAGGAAAAGGACATATGGAAACGAGTTAAGAGTAACTCTCCACCATTGTAAATAGATACTATATACAGTCAGAAAGTGCAACAACTAGGCACAAAACTGACAGAGTACTGAGACATTCGACGTCCTGACACCTAGCTTCAACACATTCCCGTAGCGCTAACCGACAGCCTCCCAACTTTGAATGTTCAAGGTTATGGAAAGACCAAAGAGGGGAACTCGTTTCCATATGTCCTTTTCCTTTCTACTTTTATTATTGGCTCAATACCCGAGTTTCAAATTGTATTATTATTATTATTATTTTTAGAATTGCGATCAACAGAACGAGCTGAACCGACATTTTCACAAAGGCTTTTATTGTATTCAAAAAACGAGTGCATACGAAGGCAGTGAAGAACATGGAAGAAAGAAAAAATGTGATATGGAAGAAATGATGAACAAAAAATTGTACTTCGAACTAGTTTTCGCACAACACTCCTCAGGAAGCTACACTGTATACACTCGTTTTTTGAATACAATAAAAGCCTTTGTGAAAATGTCGGTTCAGCTCGTTCTGTTGATCGCAATTCTAAAACTATTGTCGCCTCGACGCCTATTTACATATTATTATTATTATTATTATTTGGAAAGGATTGGGAGAACTTCATATTCAAAGGATCAGTCGGGGAAGTGAACTGCCTGAAAAGAGAAAAAAACGCCAGACCCACCAGGACTCGAACCTGGGACCTTGCTTGTCATGAGCAATGCTCTAACCACTGAGCTATGGGACCAGGCTGAACCTAGAAGGCGCTGACAAGTTTTTCACTCCAAAGGCAGCTCACAACACGTGCCACACATACTGATGGCACTTGGGTCTTTTTCCCTCCCCCAGGGGACCAACCACGGTCAGTTTCTGGAAACTACCAGAGGTGAAAGAAAGTGATTAAATTTGGAAAGGATTGGGAGAACTTCATATTCAAAGGATCAGTCGGGGAAGTGAACTGCCTGAAAAGAGAAAAAAAAAACTTGTCAGCGCCTTCTAGGTTCAGCCTGGTCCCATAGCTCAGTGGTTAGAGCATTGCTCATGACAAGCAGGGTCCCAGGTTCGAGTCCTGGTGGGTCTGGCGTTTTTTCTCTTTTCAGGCAGTTCACTTCCCCGACTGATCCTTTGAATATGAAGTTCTCCCAATCCTTTCCAAATTATTATTATTATTGTTATGCTTGTTCGCGTTGACATCACCAAGCAAGCTTGGCTAGCCTTCGCATAAGCCAAATGAACAAAAGAAAGAAAAGAGGAACGAGCGAAGCCAATGAGAAGCACACACGCATTCAACTGCAGAGCTTGTTTGTTTGCTTATTTTATTTCACTTCACCAAGTGCACAGGCATTTCTGCCTTCTCACCAGGTCTGGAGACTTAGTAGGAATGTGAGAGAGAGAGACTTGCTGCTCCCCTTAACCATGCTTCTGGTGTTGTTGATGTGCATGTATTCCAGTGGATTCAGGCCTTCCAGTCTCAACTGTTGGTTGCGTTCCTTCTTCTACATGCGATAGTGGAAATCGAAACAGCCAGTAAGTGATCGCTGAAGGATACCTTGTCAAATACGATGCTAATGTACCTACTGCCAATCAGCTCTAGCGTGTCTTGGATGCCCACTCCAACAGCCTTCCAACTTGTAAGGTTTAAAGTACTTGTAACAGTTATATCATAACATAAGAGGTCAAGGTGAGCGCAACCAAGACAAGCACAAGCTGAAAGTCTCAGCTGTGAAGGACGTTGGCGGATGTACATGCATGTCGATGATGTTGTAAAGCGTCAGTAGAGTCGGTCAGTGTCGTGCAATGTTATCACATGAGCTGATTGTTTAGTAACTAGTGGTGTCAGTGGACATTATAGCATAACTTGCACTTCCTTGGTCCTTTTCTTTTCTCTAAATTTATCCTTTGCTCTCCATCCGAGTCCATACTTGTATAAACACTCCTTTTCAGGCTGCATTCACACACGGTACACATGTGGTGGAAATCCTCGTACAACCACGTAAACGCGTCATGTGTGAGCCATGAATGATGGGGAGTGATGGCATGGTCTGGGATGCTCTGCCGACCTTGGGTCTCGGCTTCATCACAACGAGGCGCCCCAATAGCGCCATGCACATTAAAAGGGGCCCGCGTGAGCAGATATCCATGGTGAGGCGCGGCAAATTTGAATTTTTGCTAGCCGCACGTAGGGTACGCTTATGCAGATGGTACACCTACCACTTCTTTTGACTTGCCTGAAAACGAAGCTCAAGTTTGTTTTGAAGCCAGGCCATCTTTAAATCCGATCTCTCTCCCTCTCTCTTTCTCTCTCTGTCTCTGTCTCTGTTTCTTTCTCTGTATCTGTCTCTGTCTCCCTCCATCTCTTCTTCACACACTCTCTCCCTCTCTCTCTCTCTCTTCTCTCTCTCTCTCTCTCTCTCTCTCTCTCTCTCTCTCTCTCTCTCTCTCTCTCTCTCTCTCTCTCTCTCTCTCTCTCTCTCTCTCTCTTTCTCTCTCTCTCTTTCTCTCTCTCTTTCTCTCTCTCTCTCTCTCTCTCTCTCTCTCTCTCTCTCTCTCTCTCTCTCTCTCTCTTTCTCTCTCTCTTTCTCTCTCTCTCTCTCTCTCTTTGTCGCTTTCACTCTCTTTCCCTCGTTGCAGATGTGAGCTGTGAAACCAGTCCTCACCATTGCTCGTCAAACAGCCGGTGTTTGGCGCAAACTCATGGTCTCACATGTCAGTGTGAACATGGTTTCTCTGGACCAACATGCACAAGTGAGTGACAACAAGAGTACATAACCCCCCCCCAGAGTGTGCAACGCCTGATCCAGCTCTGCATAGGGTCTTGGTCGAGCGTACTGTAGAACGGTTAATTTTAGCGACTATTAATTTTTGCGTTTTCCCATTGTCAACCGGTTAGCGACGTTTTATTTTAGCGATTTGCAGCGATTTTACTCATGGTAGGGATTTCAGTCACGTGATCTGCGGGGGCAAAAGTACCTTGACACGCATGCATGCTTTTTGAATGCCAGGCATGGCACAGCTCAGCGCGGGGTCTTCGGTGTAGATTTTAGGTAGGGAAAGTGAGTTTATCGCTATTTTTATTGGCGCACCGTTGAAGAGTAGGTTTCAAGCTTTCGTTTGGTGCCTCACACGGCGAATTCGTGCCGATATTACGCATCTCGATAGATTCTTGTAGATTTCAAAGTCGCTTTTGAGGTGTTTGCCTTGGTTCCACGCTCAAGCGGCAGTCAGAATCAGATTTTACGGCATCGATTTAGTCTAGGTAGGTTCCTTCAGACGGCATGAAGGGTCGCGCTCGGTCGCGGAAATTGTTTTGAAGTTGAACGCCATGACACAGTATGGAGGTGGAGAAGAAAGACGATTAACTTCCGTCTTCCTCTGTGTTCATGGTGTTGTCCCAGGCAGTTGAGGAATGGCCTAGTAGTAGTTGAACTCTCGTTGAGGGCGAGAAGCAAAAATGATACCAAGTAGAGTTAGCATAATTTGATTTTGCTAGTTGCAGTCGTGGATGGAAAGGATTTCGAGACGATGTGAAAATTGCCAGGAACAAAATCGGGCGTATCAGAGAGTGGAGAAAAAATTTGCTGAAGAACAAGGCAAGTGACGACCTCAGTGAATTACTAAGTCATCCTTTTGAACTGCCTCTCAATCAAATTGTAAAGCAGATAACCACACACTGAACGAAAAATCGTATATTGTGTCTGATTCTTGTCCAAGAAAGAAACATTGAACTGCAAGGAAAATTGTAGGCTGCAGGGATTGCAAATTGCATGAATTGTATAAGTTTGGAAAATTATATCAGTGTTATTAAATTTCCACACCTGAGCAGTCGTACGTGCTGAGGTGTGGACATTTGCAACAGTTCATGTCCATGCTGGACCAGCCGTTGATGTCAGTGCTGAAGCAACAGTTGATGTTGATGCCGGCGCAGCAAATGATGGCGCTTTGGAGCCCGCACCCGGCATAGCAGGTCTTGACCCTGTGTGTGGCACCAGACTTGATCTTCCATGTGTCATACAGGTGCGTGGTTGTTCCAGGCTGTTTTTTACTGAACTTATCTCTTATAAATACTCGCCGCTGGCTGGCTTCTGTGTACAATACTCAATAGCCTCTAGTACGGTCGTTGTGCGGCTAATGTGCGTCTCTGACTCGTTGCAGCCGAAAACGGGCACTGTGTGACATCAGAGCTTGCTGTCTGCTCCTCTAGTTTCCCACATGCATACTTTATAACTTAAATGTTGCGTTTGCCGTATTTCTGTCATATTCCACCTATTACCATGTTGAATTATGCGTGAAATATACTGTTGCTAGGGCCGTTGCTAAGGACGCCATTGTTGCGGTCATTTGGAATTTTGAAAAAAAACTTTTATCTTCTGTTCCGTCACAGCCAGGGCCATCCTTGATCCAAGTTTGGCCACGATCGGATGAAGTTTATTTGCTGCTATGGTGTTGCTAGGGAGTATGGGAATTCCATTTTGTGCCATCCTGCAGATCCAATTTGTATGTGTGTTCATCAAGGTTGGTGCGCTATGTTTGAATGCTCATAACTTTGGAAATACTGCTTGGATTCCGTTCAAATTTTCTGTAGACAGTCCTTACACATAGATGCTTCAGAAAAACTTGTTAGTTGGAGCAAAGCGCTGCTCAGAAAAAACCGCCTGAAATCCCTACTCATGGATCAACAGTGCACTACTAATGTCTCAAAGGATTAGCGACTTGAAACATTAGTGAAAATGAGTCGATCGCTAAATTCGCTAGGGTTTTTACGTCGATAAAATTACCCGTTCTACAGTAATCGGATCTTTGCGTCATAATACCGTACACATCTGAGTGGAACCCGGGGAGTCCCGGGCACTCTCGGATCATAAACAACGGTACCCTGCCTCGAGACCGGCCTTGCACTGGTGTGGAGTGTACGCATGACATCAGAAGATCCGATTACGCTCGACCAAGACCCTTATGCAGAGCTGGATCAGGCGTTGCACACTCTGGGGGGTTATGTACTCTTGTTGACAATCCATCCATGATGCATGCTTGTTGCCATGACAATGTCTACTGGTAAGCTCTCCGCATCACAACAAGGACAGTCACTCATCATGCCTGACTAACATCATAATTATTTCGTTGGATTGATTGTTTCAGTCTGGTTGGCATGACGCTTTCCTCTAGGAAGTTTGCAATGCAGCATGAGTTCGTGCCACCTGCTGGTGTGTCACCAGAGAAAATGTATGTTGCCATCGCAATTGACCTTGCTGGAGTTGTATCAAGAGTACATGAAAACCAGAGTGTGCAGCTTGGGGCTTTTCTGCTATGGGTGTCTGTCACTGCGGAATTCCGTGATTAGATCATATTAATTTTGGTGCAGATCTGAGGCAGGAAATGGCGTAGTGCGTACAACTGAGCTGCAGTTGTGCAGAAAGAAACCTGCTTGAATCCTGCTTGTACGCACTACATCACTAAAATGATGTAATCACGGAAATCCGCCGTGACAGCAACCCATCCGAGCTGCACACTCCGGTTTTCATGCACTCTTGGTTTGTATTGACACTTGCTTTGCCACAGTCCTAAGGTCGCTGTCCATGTCCAGTTTGTGCATTGTCATAGGACATGTCTCCATGTCAGCTTAGTGTACCTCTACATTCAGTTTATGACATCCGTCAAATGGTGTATGTTTTTTTGTAAAAAAAAAACTAAAAAAACAAAAAAAACATTAGGGCAAGCTAGTTTGCTGGTCCTCGTCGGACAATGCACGTACGGCAGTTTATGACAGATAAACATGAGAAATTGTGTATCAGAGTACAGTACGGATCGGCTATAGCGTTGGTGTTTGATTTTCGTGAAAATATCACTATAGGCGATATATTACCATAGGCGATATGCATACTTAGGTATGCCTGACAAATGCGTGTATGGTGTCATTCGAATCAGTGCAGCGTGCAGAAGCGTGCTGTGCATGTGACTGTGCAATACACTCAGTGCAGAGCTACTACCTGCGGAAACAAAAACTTCGTGACTTTTTGACATGCATTTTCAAGGAGTTGCTGTACTCAACAAATGTGTTCTTTTGGAAGAGAAACACTTCAACACATTCAATCGACATATCAACAATATTTACAGGATTGGTTAATGGAAGTAGAGTCTCAGTCTGGGTCGCCATCGCTCGACTCATCACCGCTAAAACCGTTCCAAGTGGCAGGTCGATCGACGCGTGATGTCGTATGTCACGGAGAAGCTTCTCCGCGTCCCTGATCGTCTTCGCTGTTACCTGAATGCCTTGACCAACATCTTGGCGGAGACTACGGTAGCGCTTCAGTGCTGGTACTCATTACTGCCTCCGATCTCGTTTGAGGATCCCCCGAAACACCAAGCACAGCCAACGCCAAACATTTCGAGTTTTCTCCGAGGGATATCATAGTCGTACCAGCGCTTCCTGGCTGCCGCGATCAAATCTCGCCATGTACGATGTATACTTTTTTATGATCATCACTAGAGCCGATGAAAAATGTATGCAATAAGATCATTTTGACAAAGAAATCGTATCATTTTAGCCAATATTACTATAGCCGAACCGATATGTATAGAAAGGGTGGTTTACGAAAATGAATTTGAGAATACGATCACTATAAGAGGTATATTACTATAGGCGACAACCCTATAGCCGATCCGCACTGTACACAGGTCTCTTGTGTCTTTATCAGCCCGCTGAACAGTGAATTCATTTCTCTGTGGAAGTGTTCCTTACCCCAAGTTCCGGGTTCCATTCTGTTGTGTGAAGGTTTCAATCCCCTGTGCAAGGGTTCCATACCCCTGTGTAAGGGTTTCATTCCCTGTGTAAGGTTTCACTCCCCTGCTTAAGGGTTTCATTCCCCTGTGTAATAGTTCCATACCCCTGTGTAAGGGTTTCATACCCCTGTGTGAGGGTTTCATTCCCCTGTGTAAGGGTTTCATACCCCTGTGTAATGGCTCCATACCCCTGTGTAATGGCTCCATACCCCTGTGTAATGGCTCCATATCCCTGCATAAGGGTTCCATCCCCCGGGTGTAAGGATTCCATCCCCCGGGTGTAAGGGTTCCATCCACCGGGCGTAAGGGTTCCATATACCCCTGTGTAAGGGCCTTGTCTGGATAAGGACTCCATTCACCTGCACAAGGGTTCCATTCCCCTGTGCAATGTTGCGGTCACTTGTGCAAGGGTTGCATTCCCCTGCAATAGGTTTCATTCCCCTTACACCGGCTCAGTGCAACTATCGGTGGACTGGTTGGCGACTTTCTTGTCTTTGTTGAAAGACCAAACACGGATGCTGAAATACAGAATTTATTGATTTTCTAGGTTCAACCTGGTCCCATAGCTCAGATGGTTAGAGCATCGCTCATGACAAGCAGGGTCCCGGGTTCGAGTCTTGTGAGTCTAGCATTTTTGTAATCTTTTTCTCTGGCAGTTCACTTCCGCAACTAATCCGTTTTTGAATTTGAAGTTCTCCCAATACTTTCAAAAATTCATTGATTGCCTTGCCCATTTCTGGTGTGTTCCGTACTTTTTCTAGGTTGGCATGGCAACTCTGACCAGTGTCAGGGTAACGAGTACATTGTGGTGTTGCCAGGCTACTCGGTGTACGCCGAGAAGAGAACGGCAGAGCAGGCGACGGCGGAATGCTCCGCTTACGGACTCTACTTGCCGCCGAGCAAAAGCGTGTGTCTCCTCTCCGCACTTGCTGTCTTCGCTCGAAAAGGCAATCATGAAAGATTCTTCATGAACAGTGGCAGGACTCTGGTTGACTATCAAGGTGAAACCAGCATACCTGGTTCACTAGACAAAGGACGGTTTGTCTGTTCTGGTAAGTGGCAATGAATCAATGGTCGGTGGACGATTGCAATGATGTGATTGTACTTGTGTGTGTGTGTGTGTGTG